TTTTAGTCATTTTCTTAGATATGTTCCATGCATATTTTTTCATTCACATGAAATCCAAATTGTATAAGCATCAAGATATTTGAGAATAAAAAACAAAAACAAAAAAAAAACAGGCACTACATATAACATATTTGATTATGTAAAAATCTCATTTCCAAATATTATAAGAACATTGTGATGTCATTTGTGACGTTTGGTATTTTTAAAAAATATTTTTCATATTTTTATTTTTATTCTATTTAGAATAACATATTTAAAAAGTAATTTAACTTTAAATTTTCGCTTAACCCTTCGTGAGATGCCAATTAGAGATGTGACGGATTACTAGAAAAATAAGCAATCTTTTATTAAAGGACAGTCCGATTATAAAACATCATACACTATCAAAATATGGGGAAGGATCGCACCTTAACAAATTTGATGCACTTCATCTACTCTAATGTAAGTGTAGACATTAAAATTTTGTGGGACCCTATAAGACGCGTTCAATTTGAATTTGGACTTTAGAAGTGTGTTCAGTTTCAATTAGAATTCTTGGAGGCTACTCAATTCTAAACCCTAGTTCATGCCTATATAAATGATACTATATGTCTTAAAAGACATATCAAAATATCTCATAAATCTTGGGTATTTTCTAAAGATCAAAATCTCGAATATTCCACAAAAGTCATGGAATATTCATTTAGAGGTCAAATCTAAATCATCCTAATTCAAAAATACATCACTAACGGCCCTTGAATCATGGATAAATCTTAGGGGAGTGGAATCAACGGAGGAACAAAATTGTACCCGCACTATTATCAATAAAATATTCACGTTTCTTCAGATTTTATTTGTGTGGTTGATTTATTTTCCATGTGTTTAAAATTTGTTGCAAACAAATTGGCACGCCCAGTGGGACCAAATTTGCCCTTCATCTCTTCTCTCATAAGTCAAATCTGAAAATCTGAAGTTGCAAAGGTGGAAAAATGAGTACTTCAAGCCTCGTCTTTGAGTTTCATCGAGTCTATACTCCGACAATCCTTGAAGTAGCGGGCATTTGTAGACATTGAAATTTTGTAGGACTTTACAAGACGTGTTCAATTTGAATTTGGACTCTAGAAGGTGTGTTCAATTTCAATTAGAATTCTTGGATGCTACTTAACCCTAAACCTTAGTCCGTGCCTATATAAAGTGTACTATATTCCCTTAAAAGGCATCTCAAAATGTCCCATAAATCTTGGGTATTTTCTAAAGATCAAAATCTCAAATATTCCACAAAAGTCATGAAATATTCATATAGAGGTCAAATATAAATCATCTTAGTTCGAGAAAAAAGGCACGTGTCTTTACTTGTAAAGGCACTATCATTTTCATGAAAACACGCTAGGTTTATTTATTGGGCAAATTACAGAAATCCCTCAAACGGATACAATAATATAAGCGCTGATACATTAATCTGATGCGCGAGATATATTAATCGTTAAGTAAGATACATTGCATTTTATACATGATACACTAATCTGATGTACATTTTATACATGATACACTAATCTGATGCGCGAGATACACTAATTTGATGAGCGAGATACACTAATCTGATGCGCGAGATATACTTATCTGATGCGTGAAAATGAGGGATTTTAGAGATTTGTAAAACTTATAGGGGATAATGGTAATAAGTAAACTAAAATGTGGAATTTCTATAATTTTTCCTTATTTATTTGTTGGTTATAATTTCTTACATAAATTTGTAAAATGTTGTGACATAATTAAATTTCTTAAATATTCCTTTAAAATTGTAATAATTTTTCATTTAAACTTTTCAATCGAGGATATTTCTACGAGATACTTAAATTACTATCACATCATAACTATTTGGACACTAAAAACTCAATCCCAAAAACAAATTCAATCCTGATTATATCTAGACGAGGATATTGAAAGAAACAAAAAGTTCATATTGTATTATTGGTCATGGGCTCATGGCCCATGTGTCTTTTAACTAAGGAACATACAAAAGTATCACATCAAATGAGAAGATGAGGTGGAGTAGGATGTGGGTGGGGTAGGCGTAGAGGGTGTTTGTCTATCCTTTTTTATTTTATTTTATTTTATTTTAAGTTTGGTGGTTGATAATAGTATTAGAGTCTGATTAAAATAAATTTATGTCAGGTAGAGCCCCATTCGAGAGGTAATACTCCCTATTAATGAATTGGGAAGTGCTAAATGACCAAAAAATTTGGTCAGAAAATTAAAAAAACTATAATATTTTTTTATTTGAAAACAAACTGATCTTTTTTTCCATTTTTTAGTTAAAAAGTATTAAAGTTAAAAGGGTAAAAATATTTAAAAGGGTAAAATAACATAGATAAAATATCATTCTAGTCAAATTTTCTGGTAAAAAGAGTTTTTCTAATGAATTTTTCATATTCAGAACTCGAACCCGAGACTTCTAATCATCCTTTGATAGTGAGTGTATGTCTTTCAATTTCGCTTTGGATTTAGATTCAAAGTTTTTGTAATTTTTATTATGAACCAATCTTTTTTCCTTTTTCGAATTCTTCTAAATTAATAACTTCATACAAATCGGAATAGTTCCTATACTATAACATTAGTATGAAAGCGAATCGTTCGGAAATGTTTTTTTTTTCTTTCGATCTCTTGTTAAAAAGGAACAATTGAAAAGGATAATCATGCTTTGAGAAGACGATCCAAACCTCAAGACTATAGAATAGACAATACGTTTTACCCTTCAGTATAGAATTTTTACTTTTTTAGTAAAAATTCGATTATAGTAGGACCTTAATGTGGATATATATATATATATATATATATATATATATATATATATAAGTTACTGATAGAAAGGAAAAACAAACTCATTAACAAGATGATTTATAACTCCATATCTGTAATATTTTTCAAAGAAAAAAAATTCTTAAACTTCGTACCAATCGAACCTGGTATAAAATAATCCAAAGTACCACTTGCTTGGGCTTTCAAATAATAATTTTACAAATTAAAGCAGCATCGTGTATCTCATGATAACATGACTATCCCACCATTTATTTATTTCTTTGTCTACAATTAATTATTCCATACTTCACTCTATATAAATTGATCAAAGTCTATAAAGAAATTGCATATCAATCAAAAAGAAAAAAAAATTGAATATTATTCTACAAAGTTGTAACAATTTTATTAAAATGGTTGTGCCAATTGTAGGTGAGCATGAGACTGAAATTCTTCATGCTCAAACTCACATATGGAGCCATATTTTTAGTTTCATAAATTCCATGTCACTCAAATCAGCTATTCAATTAAACATCCCAGACATAATCCACAAACATGGCAAACCTATGACACTTGATGAATTAGCTAATGCCCTATCAATCAACAAGTCCAAGATCACTCACCTTTGACATCTCAAATACTTTTTTCACTCTTAACCAAAAATCCAGTAGTTCAATCTTTGATATGAATTCACTTTTATTAAGAACGTATTATTAGGTTTTTAAATCAAGGAGTGATGGCGATAAGAGAAAAAGATTGTCGGGTATCCATTATCAGATTTTTTTTTTCCTTATCCCATCATCAGATTCGAACAAATATATGATTGGTTGATTGATTTTTTAAACTAATAAAAAAAAAACTTGTAAAGGAACTATGATTTTCTTGAAAACATGCTAGGTTTATTTATTTGTTGGTTATAATTTTCTTACATAAATTTGTAAAATGTCGTGACATAATTAAATTTCTTAAATACTCCTTTAAAATTGTTATAATTTTTCATTTAAACTTTTCAATCGAGAATATTTCTTCGAGACACTTAAATTACTATCGCATCATTACTATTGGACACTAAAAACTCAATCCCAAAAACAAATTCAATCCTGATTATATCTAGACGAGGATATTGAAAGAAACAAAAAGTTCATATTGTATTATTGGTCATGGGCTCATGGCCATGTGTCTTTTAACTAACGAACATACAAAAGTAAACGCAGCAAATGAGAAGATGAGGTGGAGTGGGGTAGGGTAGGGGTAGAGGGTGTTTGTTTTTTCCTTCTTTTTATTTTTTATTTTAAGTTTGGTGGTTTGATAACAGTATTAGAGTCCGATTAAAATAAATTCATGCCAGATAGATCCCCATTCGAAAGGTAATATTTCCATTAATGAATTTTTCATATTCAGAACTCGAATCCGAGAATTTAATTAAATGAGGAGCAACCTCATCCATTGCATCACAATCTTTTGATAATGAGGGTATGCCTTTAATTTCAATTTGAGCTTTGGATTTAGATTCAAAGGTTTTGTAATTTGTATTATGAACCAATCTTCTTTCTTTTTTTTTTCGAATTCTTTTAAATTAATAACTTGATAGAAATCAAAATAGTTCCTATATTATAATATTAGTGTGAAAGCGAATCGTTCGGAAATATTTCTTATTTTTTTTTCATATCAATTTCTTGTTAAAAAGGAACAATTGAAAAGGATAATCATGCTTTGGAAAGACAATCCAAACCTCAAGACTATAAAGATATTAAATTTCTTAAGGACACAATGAATTTTGTTTATTAAATTTTTTATTTGTACATCTTCAGATCTTCTATTTCGAACACAGCAAACAACACTTTTTACCTTTCAATATAAAAATTTTCAGCAAAAATTCGATTATATTAGGAGCTCAATGTGGATATATATCAATCACGGATAGAAAGGAAAAACAAACTCATTAACAAGATGATTTATAACTCCATATCTATAAAAAAAAAATCAAAAAAAATATTCTTAAACTTCGTGTCAATCGAACCTGGTATAAAATAATCCAAAGTACCCCTTGCTTGGACTTTCAAATAGTAATAATTTTACAAAGCACCATCGTGTATCTCATGATAACATGACTATCCCAATATTTATTTATTTCTTTCTGTCTACAATTAATTGTTCCATACTTCACTCTATATAAATTGATCAAAGTCTATAGAGAAACTGCATATCAATCAAAAAGAAAAAAAAAAAGTGAATATTATTCTACAAAGTTATAACAATTTTATTAAAATGGTTGTGCCAATTGTAGGTGAGCATGAGACTGATATTCTTCATGCTCAAACTCACATATGGAACCATATTTTTAGTTTCATAAATTCCATGTCACTCAAATCAGCTATTCAATTAAACATCCCAGACATAATCCACAAACATGGCAAACCTATGACACTTGATGAATTAGCTAATGCCCTATCAATCAACAAGTCCAAGATCACTCACCTTCGACGTCTCATGCGAATTTTAATCCACTCAGGATTTTTCCTGAAGTCCGCTATGATCCCCTTAGAAAATGGATCATCGGGATCAGGATCAGGATCAGGATCAGGAGAAGGAGAGGGCTATGTCCTGGCCCCTCCAGCTCGTCTTTTATTGAAAGACGAGCCATTAACAGTTACACCTTTTTTACTAGCAATGTTGGATCCAATTTTAGTTAAGCCATGGCATCATGTAAGTGAGTGGTTTAGTAGTGATGAACCAACACCTTTTGAGGTTGCACATGGGAGAACATTTTGGGATTATGCTGGACATGAACAAAGGTTAAATCATTTTTTTAATGATGCAATGGCTAGTGATGCTAAGTTGGTTATGAGTGTTGTAGTGAAATATTCTAAAGATGTTTTTGAAGGATTAAATTCTATTGTTGATGTTGGTGGTGGTACTGGGACTGTGGCTAAAACAATTGCTAAAAATTTTCCTAATTTGCAATGTACTGTGTTTGATTTACCTCATGTGGTTGAAGGACTTGATGGAAGTGACAACTTGTCATATGTTGGTGGAGATTTCTTTGTGTCCATTCCTCCTGCTGATGCTCTTCTACTCAAGGTAATTTGACTACTTTTTTCCGATTTAAGTTATATATATCGGTGAAACAGTCAAATTTCTTTATAATACTATACTGTTGTTTAGATAGTTTTGGCTGCTATATAGAGCTTACAATATAACATAACAAGAAAAAATGGTTTTACAAGAAAAAGATCTCTTTATAACGGCACCATTGTTCGGATTGTTAATTTTTTATTGTTCTAGTGAAATGTTATTATTAAAGAGAACATACAATATAACGTAACGTGAAAAATTGGTTTTACAGAAAAAAATCTATTTATAACGGCACAACACCATTGTCGGGATTGTTAATTTTGAATGTTATAGTGTGAAAAATCAGTTTCATAGAAGAAGATCACTTTATAATGATATCATTATTCATATTGTTTTTTTACTAGTATAGTAAAATGTTATTATAGAGAACATATAATATAATATAAGATAGTAGGAAAGATCAATTCCACAGGAAAATATCTCTTTATAATGATGCTATTGTTATAACTATACAATAATAATATCAATGATTAACATACTGGTTAAACTACACTAATAATTATGCAAAAGAATCTTTGAACCTAGGTACTATTTTTGTGCCAAATATTACTTTAGTTGAAAAGTTGAGTCATCCTTCTATTGACGAGAGGGATTTGTTCGGATTGTAAGCACCCCTCATTTTCAATTCGAAGGTTGCAAGTTCAAGTCATCAAGGGAGCAAAAGGGATGGAAGACCTAGGGAGGGTTAAATTTTTTTTTTTTTTTAAAAAAGTCATCCTTCTATTATTTTCTTTTAAAATAAGAGATTAAAGAATGAGTAAGTCTACATCATGTATCAATCACAATATTCTTTTTTATATAAATAAAGTCATTTCTTCTTATGTCTTACGCATACTGACAATAGTACATATCATATATTCTTTAAAAATATTTCTCATTGAGATGAAGTATAGTCATTTGAAATTCAAAATTCATCAATTCGATTAATTCAAATTCATATCATATCATGTAAGATCCAATTAAAAGGAAGACACTTCTTATTAAGGGGTTTCTTCACTCAAGCTCTTAATACTTAGTGTGACCCTTCAATGAAAGCGTATATATATGCTCAAATATATATGAGCTTTTTTAACGAAATTTCTATCTTTGTTGTATATTTGAAACTCTAGTTAAGTATTAAGAATCTCATCGATTTGTCCTGACTAGCATTTTTACCAGTATAATCTTGAATACTAACTTTTTGTGATATGAATTATTTGCAGTGGATATTACATGATTGGAGTGACGAAGAAAGTGTGAAAATATTGAAGAAATGCAAAGAAGCAATACCAAGCAAGGAAAAAGGTGGAAAAGTGATCATTATTGACATGATGGTTGATAATAAAATTGGAGATGATGAATCAATTGAAACTCAAATTTTCTTTGATATGTTAATGATGGTTTTAGTTACTGGAAGAGAAAGATCTGAAAGAGGATGGGCTAAAATCTTCTTTGAGGCTGGATTTAGTGACTATAAAGTTACTCCAATTCTTGGATTAAGGTCACTAATTGAGGTTTATCCTTAATTAATTTGAGTTTATGCTAAATAATTGATCCTCGTGAGTGTGCATTTATTTTATCATGGTGTGTCATGTAATTGTTGGTATAAATAATGAGGGTTATGTGTTGATTGATGTACTTTTTTATTTTCTTTAATGGAAATTGAACTACTACTTTGATAGATGAATCTTGATTTCTTTAATTTCTTATATATTGCTTGCTTCTTTTTTAAGATACAATAACTGAGACATATTTTTTTTATTGAGATTGATGTGCATAATTAAAAGATGTTGAAGAGAAATATATTTAATCGATGAGGGATGAAATTTCTGAACTTTTTATAAGATTCGAACAATCTTTCTTCATTTGAGCTAATTTTTAGAGTGTGAGTTGGATCCAAAATTCAATTTGACTTAGTATTGGAATCAGACTCATTTGATGTGGCCACTTAAGCGATTGAGGGGTGGGGGGAGGAAATACACCGGATCATGAAGTGCAGAAAATGGTCTGGACGCGAGGAGAGTGTTGAAGAAAAATGTACCACATCAGCGAGGGTTGAGATCTGTGGATCCCTGTAATACTCAGGCAATCCTTCTTTCTTTAATTTGTGATATCTTTTGAGGTGTGAGTTAGACATATGATCTAATTTGATAAATATGATGTATTTTTTTTTTATTAACTTATATAAATGACATTGTTCAAGTGCTTAATTCAACTCTAGCAAAATGATTATGTAACTTTGGGAGAAACAACTAGAAAGGCAAGTCGGAATTTGATACTAGTAGATTCCAAAATTCTATATCAAATTGTCTTTTTCTCATCCTTACGCTTCATAATATCCACCTCCACCACTTTCATCCTCATAATATTTACCTAAATTATATATAAATATATTTATAGTAATATTTTCTGCTTACTAATCAAAACTTCCTTCGTATCAATTGTTTACTAGCAAAAGAAGCCAAAGAAACAACTTTTTGATAGCTAAATTTTTTACAATTTCTCCAATGTTTACCAATAATGTTATTTGGTAAACATCCTAATAAGTAATAACTATGTTTGATCGTCAAGGAATGTAATATAATATTAATATTTTAAACACAAATAACAGACAATTATTTTTAGAAATGCCTAGCTTGTTCTTTGAATTCACCAATATTTCCACGTAAATAGAGATAAATATTTATTCATTCATCTATATATTTATACTTGATGAAAATAAATGCAATGATTAAATCATGTTTTACAATTTACATGGTAAAACAGTTATTTTCAAGCTGAGATAATCATAGTTGACATAAAGATTAATTAACAAGATTTGGCAAATCTCTAATTATCAATTTTATAATATGATCTCGTTATCAATAATAGATGTTACACCTACCATTTCGGATTTAATACAGAATAATAATATTTGATTATTGCCGAGGTGAGCAAGAAATCGACAAGATCATTGATTATTCTAATTTTTTAATTATATGATATTCGGAATAATCTAAATCATGTGTGATGTGTGTATGACTCATTTAAGGTTGACGCACTAGCTATCAGAGTTTGTCCATTTCAATGTTCAAATTTGAGACCTTTAATTAAAAATGCTAACACAAAAAATAGAGACGAAAATGGAAAGAAAGTTTTGGAGCGTAAGTAAATTAATTATTCTTTAAAAAATATTGATATATATCTTTTTGGGTATACATATAAATTTCTTCAAAATTCATCAAAGCCAAATGCTATAGTTGAAAAGTCACTTTCATAGAAGAGAACCTCATTTGAGTTGTATGTTTGACCCAATTTGTTGTTCTTTAAGTTTAACAGGTTATAATGATTTCGTGTTTTGAAGTGGGATTATATTTTGTGAAATTTGAGATTGATTTGGGATAGTTGAGTATTGCGATGATCTAGCTGAGCTGATTTCAAGTTTAATCTGGTACAGTGACGTAGTTGATTGATTTTGCTATTTGAAGCATAGTGTTACTTATTGAGTTGAAACTTCAGTTTTATTAATTGAAATGTCTCTGAGAACTCCATTTGGGTTTTATTTTTTGACACAATTTATTTTTCTTTAAGTTTTAACGGGTTATTGTGATTTCGGGTTTTGAAGTGGAATTATATTTAGTAACCGAATGAATTAGTTGATCGCATGTTTAATTTGGTACATTGATCTAGTTGATTGATTGATTTTGCTAATCCCATTTTTCTCTGTTTTTCTGTTTTGGTTGAGTTGGTGTTTGTATGCTTTATTTATGTGTACCTTTTGACAGTTTTCTAGTGAATGTTTAAAATGTAAAAGTGATTTACATTGAGTTGAACCTGTGGAAATCTGTGGATCAGTCAGCACATTTTCCAACATGTTTTGATGCTAAAACAATGGATTTCTCTGTTTTGTTTCTTTTCTGAAAAAAGGAATTCCCAGTTTTATCCATCGAGAAGAAAGAAAAAAAACAATGTGTGAATGTTTTAAATAATAGTGTCAAGTGCAAATGAAGAAATAGGTGAAAATTAATTGAATATAGAATACTGGGATATGGAATATTAATGATGTATTACACAATGAGTGTTTTGCTCAGTCCTCTTATTTAGATGATATTAGATCTGCGAAAGAGCTTAAGCTTATTTTTTTAGAAAAGAGAGAGCATCCCTTAATGCTAAAAGGGCTTCAACAGAAAAAAAAGAAAAAAAAAGAAAAAAAAAAGAGAGCATCCCTTCTACCTTTAAGGTATATTTTCTCACATATTGGAAATCAAAGAGAAAATTCCTTAAGGAAAACGCTTAAGCTCTATCTGAATTGTAGCTCTGGGAAGAAAATTCCATGCTGACCAATATGAGTGTGTCTGATTGTGTGTTTGTTTGTTAAAGCTCTTCCGACTGCCCATGGAACACTCATTTTCCGTACTAGTAGGCTTTTGATTTTGCAGTAACAGAAATATGAATATGATTGGTTTATTTCATGGGCTTGTAAAATGAATCTCAACAGTGTCAAGGTTCCCAAGATGCCTGGTGGTGGTGCAACTTTTGCTTTGATCAAGTTTGGAGTTATTGCTAGTCTTGGTGTGTATGGAGTTGCCAACAGTCTCTACAATGTTGAGGGTGGGCATCGCGCCATTGTTTTCAACCGTATTGGTGGTGTCAAAAACAAGGTATTCTTGCCTTTTGTTCTTTTGGATCATAATGATGTTTACGTGCTCTTTTACATTATTAATTAGATTGACTTTTGGTTAGCATCAGTCGCTTCAAATTATGCCTATGTTAATTGTTATCCATGTTAAGTTAAGAAACTTATTAGGTGGAACATGAATTAAGGTGCCTTTCACGTGCTATTCTTTTTTTCCGTTTCAATACATGGAAGGATTGTGATACGAATGCTCCTTTAAGGACTTACTCTAGAAGAAAGTATAGGCGAGCATCATGTGGAGATAATCTATCTTAGTTTATCTGTCTTACTTTCTTTGTATTAAGTAGGATAAAATATAAAAGCAGTAATTATCTATAGTAGTTATAAAGTAGAAGTTATTACCAGCAGGCAACAACAGTTATTTACAGCAATAACTGTTTCTATCTATCTGTTAGGAGTTATTTATGTTTACTATAATTATTTGTATTTTAGGAGAATTTTGGGAAGGAAAAATATTATTATGTCTTTATATCTGGAGATTTGTCCACTCCATACGGACATTGATATTGGTTAATGCAGTGTTTAAGATTATTGCACTTTATTTAACCAGTAAAGTTTCATTTTCATTTCATTTCATATCAGTTTCTATCATTTTGGTATCACAGCAGACTGATCCAATATGGTTAGTACCAGATCTTCTACTTCGCAATCACAAGAAGATGTTCCCAATGTTGAAACCCTTGTGCAACAACTATTTGCTATTGCATCAAAATTAAACACAATTGATTCATTGGCAGAAGATGTTGCTTCACTGAAAGTCCAGACTAGTCACATCCAAACAGAGGAAACCAATTATTGAACTCGTAACATAGGAAAAAGTGCAAATATTTGGCACGAAGAGGAAGAAGATATCGATAATACAGGGTGGCCAAGAAATCCTCCCCGGAGGCCATACACGAAGATGGACTTTCCCAGATTTGAAGGAGGAGACCCTAAGGGTTGGATTTTGAAGGCAGAAAAATATTTCTGCTACTATCAAACTCTAGATGAACACAAAGTTGACATTGCTGCTATGTATCTAGAAGGTGATGCGCTTGATCTCTTCTCTTGGATCAATCGTGAACGAACTTTGTTCTATTGGGAAGAACTTGTTAAAGCATTGCAAGAAAATTATGGGCCTATAGAGTTTCAAAATCCGGACGAGCATCTGTGTAGCATCCGCCAAACTAGTTCAATACAGGAGTACCGTCAAGAATTTGCAAAAAGTTCATCTGGAGTCACAGACTTGCCAGATCACTGTCTCTTGGGGGTTTTCATGAATGGGTTAAAAGAAGAACTCAAATCAGATGTGAGAATTCATAAGCCTAGAACTGTTTATAAAGCCATGAGCCTTGCAATGGAATTTGAGCAAAAAGTTAGTTCTAATCGGGGGCATAAGTCTCAATGGTCCAATCTGTCACGATCCAACACAATCCAAACTGGTTCTGCACGTGATGTTCCTTACCAATCAGTAGGCAACCAACATGTATCACGAACCAATCCGAATTCTGCACAGATGTCTCCTCGTCCTTCTTTGAATCGTGCTTGGGAGATAGAGAAGCAGAATCACATAGCCAAAGGACTCTGTTTTAGGTGTAATGAAAAATTTGCACCAGGTCACCGTTGCAAGACAACATCTCTCACTCTTATGGAGGCAAATGACAACATTGAAGGTGGTGAATCTGGAGAACAAATGTCAAGTGACATTATTGATAGTGATCCAGGTACAAATGACCTTGCTGAAATTTCATTCCACGCCTTTCTAGGTAACACAACAAGCACAACAATGAAACTCCAAGGGACCTAAAATGGACGCAAGGTGCTGCTTCTGGTTGATAGTGGGTCATCCCACAATTTTATCTCGGAAAAAATTGTTGAAGAATTACAGTTACCTGCTCAAGTTGTGCCCTATTTTGGAGTTCAGATTGGCAATGGAGATATCATACGTTGCAACCGTTTGTGCCAAAATCTTGTTTTGAAATTCCCTGGATTAACTATTGATCAAGATTTTTATCCTTTCTCTGTTGGAGGAGCAGATTTGGTGCTTGGAATTAAGTGGCTTGCTTCTTTAAATACAGTTCAAGCAAATTGGAATGAGATGTTTTTTATTTTTAATTTAAATGGGAAGCGATATAAACTTCAAGGGGTTCCCTAAGAATCAAATGCACCAATTGCTTTTCAGTAGTTCTCCAAGGAGGCTGATACTTCAGGTAATTCTCTACCTATTGATATTCAAAGCTTGCTTCATAAATTTGAATCAATTTTGAAGAACCCAATGCCCTACCACCCTTTCGTCGACACAGTCATTCTATCCCTTTGATTCCTAACTCAAGACCACCCAACATTCGTCCATATCGTTATTCGTATTTCCAAAAATCAGAAATTGAAAATCAAGTTTCTTAATTAATCCAAAAGGGTTTTATAAGGTCAAGTACCAGTCCATTTGCTAGCCCTGTCCTTCTCGTCAAGAAAAAGGGCAATACATGGCGTATGTGCATTGATTATAGAGGTCTCAACCAAATCACTATTCCAGATAAGTATCATTTCCAATTATTGATGAGCTTCTGGATGAATTGCATGGAGCAACTATTTTTTCGAAGATTGATTTGCGTTCTGGTTACCACCAGATACGTGTCGATCCAGTCGACATTCATAAAATTGCTTTTCGTACTTACTTTGGAGATTATGAGTTTACTGTTATGCCCTTTGGACTCACTAATGCTCCTTCGACGTTCCAATGTGCTATGAATGATTTGTTCAGACCACATCTGTAAATTCATTCTTGTATTCTTTGACGACATCTTGGTATACAGTCAAACCTTTGAGCAACATATCAGTCACTTGGAATTTGCTCTCCAACTTCTGAGAGACAATTGTTACTATGTCAAAACTTCTAAATGCTCATTTGGGAAAGTCCACATTTCTTTTCTGGGTCATGTGATTTCAGAAAAAAGGGTTGGTGTTGATTGGGATAAAGTTCAAGCTGTCTTGGAGTGGCTAGTACCAATTAATGTGAAGGAGTTAACGTGGATTTCTTGGGTTAACAAGTTATTATCACAGATTTGTGAAGGGTTATGGAATGATGGCTCGACCACTCACTGAACTTACCAAGAAAAATGTTTTTCAATTGTCGAACTCAGCAAAGAATGCTTTCCAACTTCTAAAGCAAGATCTAACAACTGTTCCAGTACTACAACTTCCAGATTTCACTCAACCATTTGTAGTGGAATGTGATGCTTCTTCAGAAGGAATAGGGGATGTTCTTCTTCAGGATGACCATCTTATTACTTATTTTAGTAAGGGACTTTCTTTTTCTAGTCGTTTGAAGTCTACTTATGACCGCGAATTGCTTGCTTTTGTTTTAGCTTTGTAGAAATGGAAACACTATCTCCTGGGCAATCATTTTTATGTCCGAACAGATCATTGCAGCCTCAAGTATCTCCTTTCTCAGCGTATTAATACTAATGAGCAGCAAAGATTATTAATGAAATTGCTTCCCTTCGACTTCACAATTGGCTGGGAAAGACAATTTGGGAGTTGATTCTCTTTCAAGGAGGCCATTAAATGCTGAATTTTTGGCTCTTGCTATTCCTGTGTCGATGGATTTTTCCAATTGGCAAAATGCTCTCCAAGAAGATACATATACTCGTGAGATTATTCAAGCTATTCACCATGATCCTTCCTTACAACCAGATTTTCATCTTGTGGATCAGAAACTTTATTTCAAGGAAAGGTTTGTCGTTCTGAATCAATCTTCCATTCGACAAAAGCTTCTCTCAGAGTCTCATGATACACCTACTGCCGGGCATGGAGGATATTTAAAAACCTTGAAGCCTCTTTCCTCCAATTTTTTCTGGCCAAGGATGAAGCATGATGTTAAGATCTTTGTTCAAACCTATTTGGTTTGTCAACAAGCCAAATACCAAGCTCTAGCACCTGCTGGACTTCTACAACCTTTGCCTATACTTGAAAGAATTTGGGAAGATGTCTCACTTGACGTCATTGTAGGACTTCCCAAATCTGGTGGTTCTGATACATTTTTGGTTGTCGTAGATCGTCTCAGCAAATATTCTCATTTCACCCCACTTTCTCATCCATATACTGCCAAGATTGTTGCTAAGGTTTTTTGCAGAGAAATTATGCGTCTTCATGGCATTCCTCGGTTAATTCTATCTGATCAGGATGTTATCTTTCTCAGTGCTTTTTGGCAGGAGCTTTTTCGACTTAACCAAACAAGGCTAAGAATGGGTACCTCTTACCACACACAATCTGATGGACAAACAGAGGTAGTTAACATATGTTTGGAATCGTATTTACGATGTTTTGTTATGGAGCAGCCTCGTACATGGAGTCAGTATCTACCATGGGCAGAATTTTCTTTTAACACGGGTTTCCACTCATCCACAGAAACTACCCCATTCAAAGTTGTTTATGGTAGGGACCCTCCATCCATTTCTCCTTATGTTCATGGAGAAACACGCATTGCTGAACTTGAAGAACAACTTTTGAATCGTGATGCCATGCTGAAAATTCTCAAGGATAACCTTTTAAAGGCTCAAACTCGAATGAAACAACAAGCTAATTCTCATCATCGAGATGTTACCTTTCAAGTTGGAGATTCTGTCTTTTTACGTGTTCAGCCTTATCGTCAACGTTCTTTGGCTCATTGTAGTTGCGAAAAATTGTCACCTCAATTTTTTGGACCATATAAAATTGTACGGTGTGTTGGACCTGTAGCTTATGAACTGGAGCTTCCTGCTTCTTCCAAAGTACATTCGATTTTTCATGTATATTTGCTCCGTCCAGCTCATGGTCAGCAAGCTGTTATACCACCAGCCCTTTTCCTCTTAATAAAGATTGGGAACTCACCATATCTCCTACTAAGATTCTTGCACATCGATGGGTTAAAGAAGCTGGTTATTCTTCTTTGGAACTGCTCATTCAGTGGGTTGACCATCCGCTTGAAGAAGCTAGTTGGGAAAACTATGATCTCCTTGCAGATCAATTTCCTTCTTTTCGCCTTGAGGACAAAGCGACTTTTCAGGGAGGATGCACTGATACGAATGCTCCTTTAAGGACTTACTCTAGAAGAAAATATAGGCGAGCAACATGTGGAGATAATCTATCTTAGTTTATCTGTCTTACTTTCTTTGTATTAAGTAGGATAAAATATAAAAGCAGTAATTATCTAATAGTAGTTATAAAGTAGAAGTTATTACCAACAAGCAGCAACAGTTATTTACAGCAGTAACTGTTTCTATCTATATGTTAGGAGTTATTTATGTTTACTATAAATATTTGTATTTTAGGAGAATTCTGGGAAGGAAAAATATTATTATCTCTTTATATCTGGAGATTTGTCCACTCCATACGGACATTGTTATTGGTTAATGCAGTGTTTAAGATTCTTGCACTTTATTTAACCAGTAAAGTTTCATTTTCATTTCATTTCATATCAGTTTCTATCAGATTGCCATAGTTTTTCATGGTTTTATTTTGTTGTTAACTCGAATGCTTGTGTTGGATGGTTATGGCCAATCTCATTGTATGACACTCAACCATGTTTTTTCTCTGTTTCTATGTTTGATGTGTGCCCATATTTGTGTTTTTCTTTTTAATCTGTGTTGAGTGGTTTATGAATAGGTTGGGACACACTTCATGATTCCTTGGTTTGAAAGACTAGTCATATATGATGTTCGTGCACGACCCCATCTTGTGGAGAGCACTTCGAGAAGCCGTGACCTCCAGATGGTAAATTTTTCTCTGAATACTGGTTTCCTCCCCTCCCTAAGGACTTAAAGAGAAAAAAGAAAGAAATCAAAATAGGGGAAAAGATGGTAAACATTTGTAACAATTGCAAAGTAATGAAGTACAATTTTGGTGATAGATGATGTTCTGATTTTATCCTAGGGACAGAAAGCTTGAATTCTTAGAAGTAGAGGATTTAACAGTCTTTTTTGGTTTTTCCTTTTTATTACACAAGTAAAAGTTGGTCTTAGGGTGCTCACTCGTCCAGTTTCAGACCAACAACCCACAGTTTACCGAAGTCTTGGTGAAAACTACAATGAAAGGGTCCTACCTTCAGTTATTCATGAAACTTTGAAGGCTGTGGTTGCCCAATACAATGCTAGCCAGCTCATCACCCTGAGAGAGGTATGTGCAAGAGGCCTTATGTATTTAGTTGATGTTCTTGGTGGAAGTAACTTATGCTATAGGTGGTACTTATTCTTACCTGTACCATTGCACTGTGATTATAGGCCCATTGGTGTTGAAAGCTTGTTGGATGCTTATGTCTTTTTCTTTGAAGTAGGGAAAGAAATGAACTACAAATCTTCTATTTGTGACACAGGAACTTGTTGAAATGTTAATAGATACCTTCTCAAGGACCACCGTTAATATATACCATCTCATCATTTCCTGTCTTCTGTGTTTTGTGCAGAATGTTAGCAGAGAAATAAGGAAGATTTTGACAGAAAGGGCAGCCAACTTCAACATTGATCTTGATGATGTATCCATAACATGCCTGGCATTTGGGAAAGAGTTTACTGCTGCAATTGAAGCAAAACAGGTGGCTGCTCAAGAAGCTGAGAGGGCAAAATTTGTTGTGGAAAAAGCTGAGCAAGATAAGAGAAGTGCTGTTATCAGAGCTCAGGTCAATAGAGTTCCCCTCTTGACATCTTCTGTTTAATTTAATCTATCGCTCCAGTTTTATCATTTATCTGCTTCTGTGTTGATGACGTCTCATGTATAGCTCCCACTTTACTATTGACAAACAAGAATAGTAAACTAAACTACATAAATCGTTTTCAGCTAATAATTTTTTTTTCTGTTTTATGTTGTACTGTCATATTTTTGGGGGAAGGGAGGTGGGAGATGAGGGAACATTACGAAGCAGTAGTATTTACTTCCTATTTGTTGTTCTGCAGGGAGAAGCTAAGAGTGCTCAGCTGATTGGTCAAGCTATTGCTAACAATCCAGCATTTATCACTCTTAGGAAGATCGAAGCAGCCAGAGAAATCGCCCAGACTATTTGATCACATGCAGCAAACAAGGTGTACTTGAGTGCCAATGATCTGTTGCTTAACCTTCAGGACTTCAACTTGGACACTACAAGAAAGTGACTTGGATAGCGCAACTGATTGATGTTTCAACTTTCAATATTTTGTTTTCCTGCTAGCCTACCGCCCCTTTCATGTTTACATAATGACGACTCGATAGATGGTTTTCTTAGTTATTTGAACTCTTGAACATGGAAACATTGCATGAGAAACTATTGTGAAAGTAAAGACCAGTGTCTGATCTGACATGACCAAGCTTTATCAGTTTTATAAATGTATGCAATTAGTATATTGACAATCATGTAAGATCTGTCTGTTTTAAGCCCCTTATTTCTGTTGCTTCTGGGGAAAAAACTAAGATTCTAGCAATAAAGATACAATGAATAGGTTTTGACAATCATATAGCATCTCTGTTTTAATTGTGATTTCAGTTACTACTGCTTGTTCTTATGCTTAGGTTATCACACATTATAGTGTTATGGTATTGTTTTCCTGCATACTATGCAATGCTTCTTCTAATATTTGTTGTCTTCCTTTCATATGTTATTTGATATGAGTCACTTGAACCGAGTTTTTTTTTTTTTTGGAAATATCTTCTTTACCTCCATGAGATGGGGGTTAGTTTTGTATACACTCTACCTTTTAGATTCAATGTGTGGGTTTTTGCTAGCTTTGTATTGTTGGTGTAGTAATTATACAGTTGGTGAATACTCAATATACACTGATTAAAGGAAGATAAAAAAGAATGTAATGGAAACTAATGTCTTGTAATTTATTTGTTTGGTTTTTGACTTGGTACGAAGGGTAAGAGTGTAAAGAATAACTTTTGAACGAATCAATAATCTGTCATTTCTCAACTAGTCTCTTGACCTGCCTAAATTCAGCCCAACAATACCATTTACCACCTATCCTGAATATATCGCCTCTTTTTTTTATGTCCCCTATTTTTTTCCACTAAAGGCAAAATAATTTTAAACTAACTTAATATTTTTTCATAAAAAAATTATATGGCAAAAAATAATAAATAAGATTACCCAGTTGTTATTTCGAGGCACTAAATTCAAGCAGATGAACCATGCTATTTAACTGATGGAAATTCTCATTTTTGAATATTTAAATCTAATTTTCATAATTATTATTAAAAAGTATAAAATAATGAGTTGATAATTTAATTTAGCTTCAAAAGACCAATCAAATAAACACTTGAATCGAAAAGTATCGCATAAATTGAGACATCAGAGAAAGTAATAATATTGTATTTCAAGACAAGCCATGAGTTCGCCTAGAGGTACGTAACTCGTCAAGAGCCAATCGCGACTCATGAAAATATATCCCGATACAAATCTTTTCAATAAAAATAAAATAAAAATATAATATCGTAATTAAATTGTTACAAAATATATATATATATAAATCATAGCCACAAGGCCCCTGCATTTTTCAAAATAGGACACAATTCACCACTAATATGAGCTTCCATAATCCGATCCAATCCTCCGAACAACTCTCCTCCGATAAACACCGCCGGCAACAGCGATGAAACACTCCGATCCTCTCTCCGATCACCGACACCGACAATTTTTCCGATATCCTCTAGCTCCGTTATCGCTTCATTTTCGTATTTTTCTTCAATGTCGTACATAACGGGGTTTGCTCCTAGACATTGAAGTAAACGCTTGATGACGTGGCTCATACAACAGCCACGTTGTCTAAAAACTATAACGGCGTTTTCCGCTACTATTTTCTTGAAATTCCCTTTAGAGTAATTGATTTGATTGATCATTAGAGATGAAGATTTGTTTAGAGTTGTGGAATTTGTTGGAAAAAAATTCCATGATTTGTATGGAAGTGCATCTTGCATTGTGAAAAAAAGAAGAAATTTTGTAGGTATGAGATTTTTATTTTTCTTAGGATTGACTATGATTGTGTTGAGGAAATATAGGAAATGAAATAGATATGTATATATAGAAGTAGGATCTTAAAAAAGTCAAACTTTATTTGTATATGGTGGTTTACATTATCTCACAACAATAAATGGAAGACACATGTATTTGATTTATATCTTTTCATACATGAGCAAATGCTGAGGGGGGATATAGTACGAGTTTGACATTATCTATTAATTTCGGTTCAAATTCTAAATATATGTATAGAGAAAAAGGATAAATGATTATAACAAACTCAATAAGATTTTATAAGTCGAGTTGAGAAGAATAGAAAATGTATCTATAGAGAGTCTGTTTCTAAAATATCATCGATTAAAATTTACAAATAACTATTTTACGAACTTTGTAACTGAAAAATAGTGACAATTTTTCAAAAATAGAATTGAAAAGCGACCAGTAAATACTATTTTTATGCTATAGAATTAACTAAATATACACAAAAATTAAATCTAAAACTTATTTTTCTGGTTTTTAACGTATTTCTAAACTTCAGAACCTATAAAATTTACATTACATTTGTGTTGGCTTTCACACACATATTAATCATATGTTTTGAAAATATATTTTATTACTATTTAAAATAAATATAATTATATAAATACTGTGTACGAATAAATATTTTTTTTCGTGTATAAAATATAAATAAAATATAGGGAGGTTGTGGCCTAGGGGGTTGTAAATTAGCGTCAACGGTCGTTACGCCAACTTACGCGTAACATGATATATGGCTTACGCAAAATTATGTCATGAATAGCCTATGCTTACATATAAGTTGGTACTCCATGAGGTCATTTTTTTGGGTTCTTTAAATATTTTTTCTTGTTTCACACTTGTGTTTCGTATTTTCGTATTAGAGTCTGATTATTTAAATTCATGCTAAAAAGTTCACATCGGGGGTAGAACGTTTCTTAATAAAGATAACTTTTTATCTAGAGAGATTCAAACTTGAAACCTCTGGAGTTAATGATAAAAGAATACTTATCACTCTATCATAACTTTGATTGTTGGGTTCATTCAACATTTATATTAAATATACGTTTCCATTCCAAAACGCCCCCCACAATTAGTTCACATGATATATATCGCGATAGGTTCAAAATTTTGAAGTATACGAGTTTTTTCAAATTAAAGATATAAATTTCGTTGGAATATCTGTGCTAAAGAGGAATCAAACACTCATCAATAAGGATATCAAAATCTAAGCAAATTTTATTTTTACTGGTGGACCAAGAAATTAACTATTCTATTACTTAGTTCTTAACAAATAATTTTTACATATTTGATAAAAATTTAATATAAATATAAATTCAATATAAAAATGATTGTGTATTCAAATTCTAGATCCGTTTCTGCGTCACAATGCACTTGCGCAAGATTTGCAGTGGAATAAGTAGGCATAAAAAAGTAGAAACAAATCGTGCTTTGACTTTGACTGATATGATTAGTGTCTACTCCACTTAATTATCATATTCTATAATTTAATTAGTTTTACTTTTAACTTTACATGGATTATGCTTTATCATTCTTGCTGTTAACCATTTCCTATATTTTCTCCTTTTTATTTTGATTTAGTAGGCATAGTAAGTAAATAATTTTTGAAAAGCATTAAACTTATAGTCACCCTATAAAGCCAGTCAGTCAATGAAGGGACCGGGACGCTACATATTTTCTTTATTCTGACCGTAGATATGATCAATGTCATTGAACTTTGATACTCTAAAATAGTAATCGGAATTTGCTTATTTTTTTTCTGCGTTATCAGAGTTTGGGCTTTTCTTATTTCACTATATGGAGCGAATCGAACAAAGAGCATATAAGGACAGAAGTTGATTTGAAAAATGGTATGATCTTACTTATTTAAAGGAGACTTCATTCTGAAATGAAATAATTGATAGAATTTGATATTTTATAAAAAAATTGATCGAGCTCATAAAATCCTTCCCCTATATATATATTCAACGACGATTGGATTTTTATTATTTATATAAAATTATATAATATTATTATATTATGCGACTTTTTTATAGTATTGCTATAAATGACAATACGTAGAAGTAATTTTTCGAGAAAAAAAAGAAGAAGATAATGGGCCGCGTGATTCACCCCCAATGACGTGGCATTGACAATGTCCTTCCAAAGCTAGAAAAAACGTAGAGTGTGACGTGCGTGTGCGGATAGAGGAAAATATTTTCCTTTTCATTTTTTTTTCTAGTTTTCTCATATTTAATAGTATTATTTTTATTTCAATTTATGTAAAGATATTTGATTGGGTAAGTGTTTTATTTAATAAAAAGATTATTTATGTTCTAAAACAAATAGTAGATATTTATGTACACGTAAAATGGAGAATTTAAAATTAAATTGTTACTAAATATAGAGTAGTGTCGTACTTACTGAAACTAATTTGAAAAATAGAGCGTCATATAAATAGAGACAAAGGAAGAATTTATTAAAAAAAGTAAATTCTTAAAATAAAGAAAATAACTTATGTGATAGAAGCAGATAAAATAAATAAATTATGTAAGTGGCATTCAATGTTGACTGTCTCTTCCGTATATTGCCCCCCAACATATTCCTCACCCCTTTCTACCTCTATCCACTTAGAAAGATGAAGAATGGGATATGAGATTATAATGTAAGAAATCGAACTTTTACCAATAAGGTAAAAGTTTATGTAGTTATGAGCTACTAAAATATACTATCAAACTTTGAGATAATGCTCATCAATGTCATCTGTTAAAAGTTTGGCTTATCTATATCATTGTTTTTTATATTTCAATTTGAATATGAGAATAATCTATTTTATGTGATGTTATTTGATTAAGTGCTTTTTAGCTAACAAAAAGTATTATTTAAACAAAGCTCCAAGTAAAAAAATGAATTAAAATAAACAACCCTATAGTCTATTTTCTTATTTTCCATATAATGTTCAGTATTCGTTTTGGGGCTCAGCTAATTTAGGAAAAAGGGTTTTAATTATATAAAATCTAGACACTTTTTTTTTGTTTATTGTTTAGATGTGTCATTTGCGCCTGTAAATATCACTTTCATAGGTCGGGAGGGAAAGGAGGACTTTCTACGACTCCATTCCTAGTGAAGGGTCAACTCTGATACTTCTTTTAAAAAAAAGGAGGGGTATTAGTATTATTTTACCCCCCCCCCCCCCCCCCCCCCAAATTCAGATTACTAATCAAACTAGAAAACAAATATCGAAAAGTGAATTGAAAGAGGAAACTTGCTACTTTTAAAGATCATATGGTGTAATCATGGCCAAATGAGCAGGACATATATTAACTTTCCTATACATAAGATTAACAACATAGGAACCAGGTCTTCCAGGACTTATTTCATAACAATAGTTTTCTTTGTGTTTGTGACATGCTATTTTCAAAAATGCATCAATATCCTCTTCCTTAGCTTAGCCCATTCATCTACCACACACCACCTCTTATTACCCTGCATGCATCACAACAAACAATATTTTTTATATAATCTAGATAAATATTATAATACCAGATAGAATCGAAGGAGGGGGGAGGGTAATGGGCAATCCGGGGTTGGGGGTCGAGGTGGGATAAGTGTGGGGGTGAGGTAGTGTGGGGGCATAGAGCAAGTGTGTGTTTTTTTTGTTTCCCACCTGGTGTTCGGAGCCCACGGTGGATCTCCGACTAAATCCGGATCGCACTGCAGGGTTCATTCGAGGGTGGCGCTCCCAATAGGATTTTCTCCATACCCAAGGCTTGAACCCAGACCTCTGGTTAAGGGTGAAACACTCCCACCACGGCACAACAAAATATGTTGGTTATGCATTCAGTTGAATCCAATAATTTTGATTTAATATTATGTTTGTCTCAAAAAATGTATTTCAAACACATAAATTTTAAAGAGCAACTTTCACATATAGCAAACATAAAAATCATATTTGTATGTTATAGCTATAGTTTACATAATTGCGCTCCATAACAAATTTTATGTTTGCTATGGAGCTTTTGATTTGTATAATTCACTAAATACATCCAATTTTATACAAATTATTCAGTTTTGTATAAATTCATTTATACATTGTAATTTTTGTAATAAGATATGTATTTGTATAATTATAAGTGTATAGGACGAAAATATATGTATTTGTATTTGTATATACATTTTTCTCTCGTTTTATACAAACACAAATGCATTTTATACATTTTATATCGAAATATATAAAATGGCTAATTGTATACCGAAAATGACTAATTGTATACCGAATCAGATGGCAAAAAAATGGGATATTTGCTGCGAATTACAAATAAAATAAACTATGACTATAACATTTAATTTGAATTAATAGTTTGATATTTCATATAATTTTCCCAATTTTAAATCTTGACTCTACCTCTGGAGTTGTAGGCGATTTAATGGGTGGGTGGTGTTGGGAGTGGGGGGGGGGGGGGAGTTAGAACTTAGGAATTGGGTGGTTAAAATAAGGAGCTCAACTCGAAATGATTTTTAATTATGTTATGGAAAGAATTTTTTAATTAATCAATCATGAAAAAATTAAAAAATATTTTTCATCTTCGTACCAAGCCCCAAGAGGAAAATACAAAAATACAGCTAACATTATACCTGACAAAAACTAGTGAAGGATAAAAACACAAGGAAGCACAAAAATAAACTTGATTTGCCATTGATTTCTCTCTAATTAAGTGTTTTTAGTAATGTTTGCTTATGCCAAGAAATTATTCGAAAAGTACTATAAATTGTAAACATTCATATATCAATATAATTTAAAAAGACATTTTAAAATGTTGTCTAAATTTACATCGTTCGAATTTCAAAAAATAAAAGTGTCACATAATTTTAGATAGAAAAAAGCTAGTTAATATATAATATAAAGTCTTGGAAAATAACTTTTAGATTTAGAAGATTGAATTTGTGTT